AGACTCAGAATCCAGATAGGTTATGAGATTGAACCTGATATTGGGCCACCACTGGTTATGTTGAGCTCAATGAAGTATCAGTGAGAACTTTTTGAGCTGAAGCTGAGAAACCCAACTTAAAATAATTTAAGCAAAATAGGAAATTCACCTTATTTTACTGAAAGGAGGGCAAGAAGTTAAATCCCAGGTAGAACTGGCATGCTACCAGTATTCTCTTTTTTTATATCTCCTGTATCTGCATTGGCTTAATTCTATCTAAATTGGCTTAATTCTCTTCAATGGCAGATTCACTCCTTACACTAGTGGAAGTTCAGTGACTCAGACATGCAGGCTCTTTTTTTGCCACAAGGAGGAACTGAGACTTGGACTCCCTGGTCTCCTGTTCAAAACTCTCAGCCTTGCCCTGTCTGGTGTTTCTCAGTGGTTAGAGCATCAGCCTGTGCACCTAAGGGTCGTGGGTTTGATTCCAGGGTCCAGGTTTGATACCCTGCCCCAGTTGGGGAGTGTAGGGGAGCCAACCAATCCATGGGTCTCTTACATTGACGTTCTCTCTCTCTCCCTCCCTCCCTCCCTCCCTCCCTCCCTCCATTTCTTCCACTCTCTCTAAAAATCAATGGAAAAAATGTCCTCAGGTGAGGATGAAGAAAAATAAAGTAAAATAAAATAATAATAACAATGATAATCCCAGCCTAAGCTGCCCATCCATGAATCAAACATTGTGTTCAGGGCAAGGGTTTAATCTAACTAGCCAAGTGTGAGTCTGATGCCCATAATAGGTGAATAACTACAGCCAGGAAGCCAGAATTTATAGGAAGATAGTGGCTCCTATTCAAGTCACATGGTTAGAAAAGATAGAAGAAACATTTTCTATAGAAACACTGAAAATATAGGTTCTATTCCTGGAAGACAAGAAACATGTTGAATACAATTGGCAAAGATGTTGAAAATAAAAATGTAAAAATGCATTATTTGGACATAAGATCAACCAAACCTTTTTAACTCATGAGCTAAATCAAATGTTTAAGGTCTACTGGATGTAAATTTTTGGCTCTGGAAATGAATATTACTATGAGTACCAGACAGAAATATCACTTGAAATATTTAAGTGCTAACACATGGACACTGACCAATCAGAACTGATCTTCAAACAATCAGAAAAAAATCCCAGCTCTGGCATGAGTACCAGGACATACAAATTGAATATAATTTGCCTGTTAGGATAAGTCACCAATGAATGCAATATGATTATAGACTCTCTGCATGCCCTTTTTTCCCTAGGCATTTTATTTTGCTACACTCAAATCCTAAAAATGACAGGTAACATGATAAAAATAAGAGTCAATGTTCATCCAACACTGAATTTCTTCAAGGTACATAAAATCACCTAGAGAAACGATTGAAATATAGAGCCCATAGCCCCATCTTCAAAGATTATTTATCAATAGGTTCAGAATTAAACCCTGTAGCCTACAATTTTAGTAAGGCTTCCAGACTTTTCTGATGTCATTGGCTCTCTGTTCTGCAACACACTTGGAGAAACACTGCTCTAAATTGCATTCCACTTACGGAAAAACATCCGAGCTATTTGTAAGTAATTGGAATAAATAAGAAAATCAACAACCATGAAGACATAGAAGGATAGTAATGAACTCTCAGCAGGAAGGCTTCTGTTTATTAGGGATCTGGGTAATTCGGGGCCTTCTTCCAATGGCGTGTAATTCCAGAGTAGGGCAATCAACTAAGCCAAAAGGGACAAGTATGAGGAAAAAGATGAAAACACAACTTAGTGTATCTTGAGCATATTTAGTTTAATATAAGGGACTATCAAAAAGTAAATGAGATACATTGACTGAAGAGATAATTTTAGTGATTTGATCTTTGACAATGTATCATATAGGATTTTCTTACCTGTCATCATCACACCCTACCCAACAAAAGACATTACAGCCAGGCTGCATATGGCTTTAGATATTAAAAATAGAAACTGAAATAAAACAAGTAGTGAAGGCAGGCAATCAATGATTGATGCAGTATATGTGATATTCCTGGATTGTTATGCTCTGTGATTGATGTTACCCAACAGAGTGATATCAAGAAAACGGTTGTGGACTTAAGGTCAGAAAACTCCCATTTTTGCTCTGTTTCCACCAACAGCTTTCGTTAGAACCTTGTGCCACTTACCTGACCCCTTGGACTCTTACCTCCCTCATCTTTAAAAGAAAGAGGGTGAATTAAACTGAGAAAAACCTTTAGTCATAACACGATGATCCCATGAAACATAAAGCAAAATTTAATTCCTGATTGTAATCAATTGTTAAAGAGCAAAATGTACCTAAAGAGCTTTCTCATCTGTCCTTATAGCACTATCAGAATAAAATTTAAAAGATCCAGCTATTTCTTACAGTGCAGCTCAAATTAGGTAATATAATCGGAAGCCTTTTATTCAAACCTTTTAACTTTATTTTTAATATCTAGTTTAGATATTAGCAAACCTCTTGGACCCTAAAGTGAGGCTTAACCATCTCTTTGGTCATATGGGAATCATTTACGGAACATGAGAAAGCCAACCTGGATAAGATTACTTCCCAAATACTACCAGGAGTGCCCATCCTTGGAGTCACTTTTAAGGATTAAAGCAATAAAAGAACACCTTTGCAATCACAAATGTTATCTAGAAGAGAAGAGAGAGAATATTTGGGTCTGGCTCCTATTAGCCAAAAAACATCAGTAGTATCTTGGGATTTTTCAGAGTTGGATCGAGGTTTTGAAGGGCCTGAAATGTTGTTACAATTCTGGGACCTACTTTAGTCAAAGGGTTTTTAAAAAGAACTAATATAAAAGTCAATTCTAAAGGGAATTTTTACTTAGGCTAGAAAAAGAAGTAAAAACAAATTACTGGAGTTTTGGAAATTCAGGTCTCTTTCTCCTGAGACCTCTTTAGACACTTACAAGAAGTCATTATAAAGAATCATCTTCTAAATCCATCCTGACGTTCACTGCCCTTCTACAGCACTCTACAGCTCTCAGCCACAGCCAGCACTCATAGGGACTCATGCAAATAAGGGTGTTCAGTTTAACAAGCGTAAGTTTAATAAGTATCGTGTATTATTAATCATCAGCTTAACAGGTGGACAAGGAACAAGAACACCACAGAATCAATTTTGGGAGAGAATGGAGAGCTCAGAAGCTGACATTAGGGACTGCTTCAGTGGGCAATCAGAGGTACCCTCTGAATGGGCGGCCTGGGAATCTTTATATGAGGGCTTACAAGTAAGAGGGCATTAAAGATAAACTTCTCAATATTGGGTGCACTCAGTCAGGTATCACTAAGCAGGCCAAATCCTGATATTCAGGAGAGCCGGGAAAAAAAGAAGACACGAGGAAATAAAAGAAAGGAAGTTGGAAAATGTGGGTGAGGGCAGGAGGAGGGTGTAAACAAAGTAGAAGAGAAAAACATCAGAGAGAGAGAGAGAGAGAGAGAGAGAGAGAGAGAGAGAGAGAGAGAGAAGAGGTGCTTCACCATCTGTTCTGAGCGATGTAACAGTGCTAATCACTCAGTTCACCTGCTGTATACCAGCACAGTGAACATAAGACTAGGAAGAAAGCGAGGGAGTTAGCCCGTTAGAACAGGACATTACATTAATGGAAATTCTCTCTATTCCCTCATCTTAGAGTTTAGAAAAATGAGACAGAGGTCACTGGCCTGTCAGAGATGATTGTCTAGCATAGCCAAGGCCGGAAGCCCCATCTCTTTGATGAAAATAACACTGATTTTTTTTCTCTTTATGATTGCTTTACAAAAATCTAGCAAAGATAACCTCTTGTCCTCAGCAAACTTAAACACTTCTCCATCTAAAGCTGTCCACACACGCAAAAATAATAAAAAATAAAATAAAGTTGTCCAAGTCTTCCTTCATGACACATCTCAAATCAATAATAAAGAAGTAATAAAGAAATAATTAACACATGAAGGTTTTCTTTGTTGAAGGTAGCTTTGTCTCCCTTTGCATGTCCAGTGCACCTTGCCTGTATATCTTATAGCATTTATTTTACTCTGTCCAAGTCTCTTTCTCTCCTCACCTTTCTCACCCCCCCCCCCCACACACAGAGGAATTACACAGTGTTCTACATGCACCCACACATATATATGCAAATATGCCCATAAACACAGACACCCATAAGCACACACACAAGCTCCCCAGTGCTAAATCAAGACTCTACCATGTAACAATATTTTAGAAAAAGCTGATTTTCCTATTTCTGGTGGTTTTCTATATCTCTTTCTTCTTACCATTCCATTTACTTTCTCTTCTCCCTTTTCCCCACTTACACAAATCCTAGCCATTCTCATAATCCCCTCAAATGCACATAAAACTTTAAGGATACCTCATTCACAGCACTCGTCACTTTCTATGTTGCATGACACTTATTTTGATATATAGCTCTTTCCCCATACTTGAGTGTACTTTGTATGTGGTTTCTTTCTTTAAGAATATACTTGCTGAGTGCTTGAGAGCACAGTCCATGGGTGATTTATCTTTGTAATGCCCACAATGCCTTGCAAAATGCTTGCATATTATAGGTATTCAGTAAATATATATTAACTAATAAATAAGTGTTCACTAATTTGGAAATGATAAAGTTCTGGAACCTTTATTCATTTTTTTAAAAATCAGCAATTATTTACCATAGGAAATGCCTGTAGTTATTTCTTTCCTTTGGAATATAATTAGTACCTAAACTACTAGTGTTAATTTACACTTAGATAATTAATATTTTAAAAAGTACTGAACATACATGCAATCCAATCCTTAAGGGAAGGCAGACATCATAATGACTGAATTTAAGTGTATTTTTCTTTTTTTAATGCTTCAAAAATTTAGCAGTCATCAAACAGACATTAACAACCAAACCACAGTGCTGTTCAACGTAACCATCCCAGGATTGAAAAGAAATTGTGACATTCATTTTATGCTTTAAGACTTTGCTTTCTTTTCCAGGTGTGATGGGAGAATACGAGCCGAAAATTGAGGTCCATTTTCCTTTAACTGTTACGGCTGCTAAGGGAACAACTGTTAAGCTGGAGTGCTTTGCCCTTGGCAAGTAAGTCCATATTCTTCCATAATTAGACACAATTGTTTATTAGAATGTGACATATCTTATTTTTTAATCACTTATTTTGCTAGATTTCACTTTCCCAGAAGCTCCTTGGTGGGAAGAAGTAACCAATTATAATGATCTTTCTAGTCATTTCTATGAACCTCAATGTATACATTTTTACTATTTTAACATAGAGACCACTTCTTTAATTAAAAAAAGAGCTTTACATCTCTGCCAATGTGTCCTGAAAATTTCAGTATTTTTTCTTAAATTTTATTCAGCAATGATGTAAATGAAAATATAAAAGAATAAGGTGCTATCTGCTCCTCACAGATTTTGATAAGATATAATAAGCCATGAGTATAAAAATCACAAAGACAATAATTACAGTGAGTCAACTGCTTACTTCTGTATCTCCTGAAATAATGATAATGTGATAGCACCAGCTGTCAATATGCACAACATGTAATGATTCCCCAAATCAGAAAGATGATTCATATCACACTTTAATGCCTGCTATACTTAAGGATTCTATTTCGGAGGGTTTAAATCCCGTGATATATAATTACTTGTCAATGATGTTTACAATATGAGTATTGGGTATAGAGGCAGGAGTGGAATTTTGATTGTATTTGATTAGAGTATTATGATTTATTTTTAACAGAGTGTTGTTGTTTGCTTTTTTTTATGGGTGATAAGCCCTCAGGGTTCTTTCTAACTCTATAATTATAATTTGCATAACTGCATCTCTATCAGAGTTGCTAATCATTTAACTTTACTTGTGGTGAGCTATTCTTACAGTGTGACTACAAAGTACATGGAGATAAAACATGCTATACAAGTGTGCTTAAAGTAGGTTTAGCCTATAAGTGAGGAAAATATTACTAAGTATAAGAAATGTAGCTAGGAAAAGGACATGTAGGGCATGAACATAGTAAACACTATGTTTTCTAATATCAAGACAGATTAAAATAACATCTGTGTAATTTACTTAACTCCAAGTAGAAACAGCATCATCATAAACTGAAAACAAAATAAATTGTTATGTGGTCATTCTTTTAAATAAAAGATGCCTATAAATAGAACTATATTTCAAGAACTAAAAATTCATCAAGGAGGTATTTGGGCAGATATCTGAGGAAGTCTTCTAAACACAAAGATATCATTTAAATGTGCATGGTTAAATAGCACCTTAAAAGTCGTTTTTTTTTCCAACCATTTGTCTATGTTGTCATATCAAGTATGCCTGAAAATGTTCAGTGTTAGCAGCTTAATTCTCACAAATACAAAAATAATATATTTTGGTTTGATGGCAAAGGTTTAGTATATCCTGCAGTTAAATAATTCTCAAATGCTTAGTATTTGCACTAAAGCCACAAACAAAAGGAGGTCATATTGTAAAACACATTAGAGAACTGGATTTATAGAGAAAAAAACAATATGGGAAATTTCCCCAGGCAGGCTTATTTAATAAGCTAGATGTGTTTGCTTTGGAAGTATTGAAATATGCTTAAATTGATTATTAAAGTTCCTTTCATTCTAGGTAGGATTCAACAATTATTTTATTTTAATACTTTATTTTCTTCAACTTCTCCCACTTCAACTTTGCTACTCCCTCTCCCCACACCACCCCAAATAAACAAATAAAAGGGAAGGTAACCCTGGCCCCAGGTGGCTCACTTGGTCATCCCATACACCAAAAGGTTTCAGGTTCAGTTCCCAGTCAGTGCACATACTTAGGTCTGGGGTTTGACCCCAGGTCAGAGCTCATATGGGAGGCAATAGATCAATGTTTCTCTCTCTCTCTCTCTCTCTCTCTCTCTCTCTCTCTCTCTCTCTCTCCCTCTCTCCCCCTCCCTCTCTTAAAAGCATATGCTTAAGTGAGAATTTTTTAAAAAGGGAGGAGGATAAAGAAGACACACAGCCTATCAAGGTCACTGTTGTTCATTTGATATCCTTTCTGTAAAGTGTCACAATGATGACTTTTAAAAATGTTATGAAGAGCTATACCTCTACCTAAAGACTAACCTGCGATTCTGATGAAAGTAAACAAGGTCAAAGAAATAACTTCCTTACATATGTTAGCTCCTCTACAGCATATGATCATGTGGAGATCATCACTGCATCCCAACATGATCACAGCAATTTCAAATCAATACCTGAGTATCTGCTTAGTCCCCACAGCTCACCTGCGCTGCTTCCCACTTTAACAAGCAGATGATCCTTTGGTGGCCTTTGTCTGTCCAAAAACTTTATTATTTGTCATTAAATACAAATTAGGACTCTGCCACTCAGACTGATCCAACCCCCCGCCAGCCTTTACACAGGGAGTGTTTCAACTTGTGGAGTTTCATAACCAAATCATGGCATAGAGCATATCAAGCTCTCTCCTCCCACGGCTTCTGCACTTGCCGTTCCCTCTTGAACACTCTTCCCTGTCCTTTCCATCCTTTCCATGCTGGCTCCTACCCACTGGCCTCAACTTAAATATCACCTTCAAAAGAGACCATTGATAACTATCTAACTCACACCCATTTTTCTCTAAGTAGTTGTGTTTTTTCTTCATAGCTCTCAATACAGTTTTACATTATTTACTTTTGTGTTTCCCTACTTTAAACATTTCTTATCTGTGTCAGTAAGGTATTCGGCTGGAAACTGGACCCAACTCCGATGGTTCAAAAGATTTTAGTAAAGGCAAATGTGAAAGATCTGTCAGTGAGCAGGACTAAGAGGACCAAGGAAAGTAAATGAGACATTAGTAGGCGAGCGATAGCAGGAAGTCATTCTCATCCAGAATGAGCAAGGGGGAGAAGACAGTGCCATCAGAACCAGGGACAGCAGAAGATATGGAGGGGACCGGGGGCCACTGACAAGAAGGAGCTGCAGACACTACAGTCATGAAGAGATCACAGCCCAGGAAAGGGTCAGGAAATTCATATCCTGACTTCTTTTCCACATGCTTTCTGATCTCTGATGGCTCTCATGGCTGAAGGCACCCAGAGCCAGCTTGGAAGCCAAGAGGATGCAGTTGGCTGTACACACAACAAGGCAGAGAGTGTGAGAGAATGAACTCAGAAATACCGTGGCTACCTAACCCATCTGTGATATCAACAGATGATAAATAATAAGTAATAGATTCTTTATGCATAATGCATTTTGACTAACTCCTATTCTCCCAAACACATGTGCACTGCTCTCCTCTGCACATCTCTATCTCTTGCCCTCTTATTGTTTCCTATTTATGTCTAAATTGACACTTATATTCTTAGCTGTGCCTTTTCCTGACTAGTCTCACCTCACTCTAACAGTATCTCTTTTTTAGACCTACATTGTCTCCTTCTCTTTTGATTTTCTTCACAAAGCTTATTATCAAGTTCTAGTCATACTTAATATTTAACACGTAAAAAAAAACACACTTCTCTTTATTGGCCCTTAGGAAGGGTTTGTTTGTTTGTTTGCTTTGAGAGGTAGTATAAGGTTAAAAATGAATTCTTCATATTTAAATACTAGGATGAAGGACAGAGTGAAAAACATATATCACAGAGAGTGATATTTAGTGCAATAATGGCTTCAAGGACATATAGGAGGAGACCATAAGCACAAATTCTTGCTGTCTCCACCTTTGCCTCCTACAAGCCTTATGGGGGCAATTCAGCTTTCCTACTAGAAATCACCATTTTTAATCATGTCATTTATCGAGTCAAACGCCTTCCTAGGTACACCTCCTCTCTCAAGGAAAAATCATTCATTCATTTATGCAAAGAAGTCAAAAAGCAAGAGGTGGGCTTTGTATAGATCATCCTGTGAATGCATATGAGCTAAAGTATCTTCAAAAGAACCTGCCACTGAAATGTGTCTGGAGGTTTTGAAAACCAACTACGTGCCAGGCAATGTACTAGCTTCCATAGTCCCTGTTCTCAAAGAGATGCCATGTTATCTTCATACATTTTCTGGGTGTAGCACCTCCATCTGGAGTCCAGTCTTAGGAGCCTAGAAAATATTTCCATCTAATGGCTCTCTCTACATATTGGAGGCAATTGAAAGTTGGTCTTAGTCATCACATTAGCAGCAGCACACACCCTGATCAGGGTGTCCTCCACAGTCAACTTTTATTTCTAGAGAGATTTACTGCCCATCTTTTTTGTTCCAACTATAAACTCGAGACTAAATGACAATAATGGCAGATTTTCTTCCTCTTGAATTTTCCCTGACCCAGACCAATCAGAAATGTCTTTGTATCGCTAGAGCCACACTTTCAAGCTGTCAGAATACTGTTCTGCTGCCCACAAACATTTTTACTCCTCTAGAGAAATACATTTACTTCTAGGAGATCTGTCCCTAAAAGTTCTTATAATTTAGAGAATGTAAATTGATGCAGCCATAGTTGCACACATAATATAAAATTATGACATGGATGCATTTTCTGTATTCTTCAAGGAAAATAGCAGAAGCCAAATGATTGTAGGTCACTGAATTTTACTGTCTCTTAATATCACACAGGTTCACCAACCTGCCTAATCAGAAGTTAGGTAAAAAGTCAACAGGAAAGCTATATGTTACAAGATGTCTTCTAAAGAAGCCTCTACTTAAATCTCAATTTAGCAAAACTCAAATGGTTTCTTTATAGGTTGCTGCAGCAGAATACAACAAAAATATACTATAATTACACTCCTTGTCATGTCTCTGCAGACAGAATTACCAAGTATGGAGCACAGAATGTATGCATGACGTGCCTGTGACATGTTATGTTTGGTATTAGTCAATTCTGCAAAGGTATAATTTTCTCAGCAAAATGGGAAGTGCTTAAAAAGGGCCCACAGGGAAACAAAGGTGTGTAAAGGCTTGAGAAATACAGCAAAGTATTAAAAGAAAAGGAGGGGGATTAATTACTTTGGAAAGAAAAGGCTGTTTTAGACATATGGCGGCTTATTACCAAGAGATTGCTCACAAGCTGTTCTCCAGTTTCAACAAGATGCAAAAGGGTGAAATTCCAACAGGATGGC